AGCAATAGTGGCCAATAGCAAAGTAATAGCTGAGTGATTCCCCCCTTGGTCCGCACACAATGTAAATGTGCTTGTGGACAAATCAGCAGAAAATTGAGAGCATTGCGCCATTTCACATGCTATCACCGTCACTTGCCTCGAATGCCAATCTCAACCGAAGTATGATACACTAACGGAACATTGAGCACCCAAAAAACAATTCGACAACACTTTACGGGGCGAAAGACGCAAAACTGCAAGAAAATGTATCAAAATTAAGTACGTTCTGGTGACGTAAGAAGAAGAACAACAACAGCAGCAAAAAAGAAATACACAAAGCAAATCCATTGCAATCTTTATGCTTTGCAACAGCACGACGTCAAGCCGATAAGTTTACCGAATGTGAAAGTGAATGCCGCACACACCAATATCTCACACACACATACACACACACACTACTAGAGGCATTTATTGAACGGTTATGGCAGCAGGATTAGAGAGCAACTGATGCGATAATGCTGGCAAAAAGAGTTCGATCAACCAATTGAGAATGAGAAATGGTCGCAAATTTATCGTTATTTCCGCTCTAATATCGGCATCAATGTTGATTTGGTTTCGTTTCGTTGCGGTTGTGTGAGTGAATGAGTGTATGTCTACGGATATACGATAGAAAATATAGACGAAGTTTCTTTTCGGTCGAATAAGGCATAAAACCACCTCTTTAGTGCTTCAGTGTCAAGAATATTTGCGGTTATTTTGAGTGCGACGCAGAAAACAAATGGACTAAAATGTATCGAAAAATATCATTCGATATACATAGTGTCGTTTTGGTCATGCCGACCGAATAACATGTGGTTTCGATAATGACCGCTCATCAAAACGTATTGAATTTTCATTGCTTTGAGCACATACAAACACACACACAGGTCTCTTCTTCAGCTCGATCGGTTGATGTGGTTTTATGGACTGAGCGCCAAAGCAAACAGCACCGAATTTGACCGACGACCAAATGGAAAAGAAAAATAATTTCATTAGCATTTAACACTTATATTATACTCTAGAGTGAAATTTCACTTCGATTCATCGGCGATGTGCTTCGGTTTGAAATGTGAGCATGGTGCATGTGTTGATAGAGCATATGAATGGTTTGGAGCGAAAATGTAATACAGAAAAGTTGAGCGGAAAAATGTTGATGATGAATGAGCCGAAAAGGGATAGCTATACAGTACACTGTATAGTAAACTATAGTGAACTATATAGCTATCCCTTTTCATTTGACATTTTTCCGCTCAACTTTTCTGTATTACATTTTCGCTCCAAACCATTCATATGTAGATATATATCTAATTTCCATGCTGAATATATAATGCATTTTCGAACGAATTGTGTCGACGTCAGTAAAGTTATAACCGCCAGGTCGATCATCAACTTGGCCCAGCTGAAAATATTAACCATTATCGGAATTCTGCCGTTGTTCAACCCTAAAATACTTCGATTTTCCTCTTGCCAGAGAAAAATGGTTGGAATAAAACCTTACTTTTATGCATGAAATATCAAAAAAAGCGAAAATCGATCCTATAGTGGTGGGGTTTTTCCGCTGCGATAAATTTCATTTTGCGTAACAAGCACTCAAGCCCTTCATTAACAATTACTACAGTAAGTCACTGCTGTGTGGCAGCGTCGTACAAAGGAGTTCATTGCGTTATTCGCAAGAAGCAATTGATTGCACGAGCAAAGAGTTGTGGTTTAGTGAGTGTGTCACGCGAAATCTGTACTATATTGCGGCCACAATATAACAGAATGAAGACAATAATTTAATGAGTTTTCTAGTCGCATTCAAATTGTGTCACGTGAAAAAACTCAATCAATTGCATTGAGAGCGATGCGATTGTTCTATTGTTTTTGTTGTGGTTACACTTTTTTCAGCCCTTTTAGGATTTCTTTTAACGGTTTCGGTGTGTTCCACAATCTTGACAGTTGTATCAAAATGAAAATTTCGTAGCCAATGGCCATTGTTTATGCATATCTATTTTTTTTCTCGATTGAATGCTTTCCCTCCGAATGGGTTCATGGCCGAAGGAGTGCGCGCGCTTCTTCCCGGTGTGAGTGCGCGTTCGCTCGCATACAGTATGCGAAAAAGCAGCCGAACCAAAAATTTTATTTGCGAATTCATTTTGCCATCGAAATTTATGGCAAAAGCAAAATCGCTTTGTGGTTTGCGATAAATTTTCGTCATGATATATAATATGTAAAGTATGTCGATGTTTGCCGCTTCTACTGCTACTGTCCAATGCTGCCGCGCGCTGTTGCGGCTGCATAAAATGAATGAATGAATGAATGGTAAAACGCCCTTAAAATTTATGCACATCGAAAATATCGCATTCCAAAGCGGAACAAGCAGTAAATTAAATGACGGTATTTCTTTTCTATTTCCTTGTAATGAGCTAGCTCAGTGTGTGCTCTCTGGTTTGCCCGATATATATTCGGTTTGACGAGCATGGGCAAAATATGTATGTTCGAATGGATCTTAGATTCATTTTGCATTTCGACGATGGGATTAAAGTGGTCATTTTGGGTTTTTCATCGCTGGTTTCGCATGCACTTTCTAAAATCTAGAGCACTTTTTGCAATAGTTCCCAGAATAAATGATATTTTCGGATCGTATGTGTGTTGCGCATGAAAAGCGAGTCAAACTCAATTTTCCGAATTTGGTCGGCGGGTTGAAAGTTCAACTCTTCACCTCCATGTTTAAAGGTGTATCCGAGTTCAAATGATTTCCGTTCGTATCGTCTCTCTGGTTTCGATGAAAATGTGTAATAGTTTCCTTTGAATCATTAAAATGACATTAGAAAGATAAAGCGAACTGCCACTTTACCGTTCTGTTGACACAAGCACACACTAGCGCTTGAAGTAGCAGAGAGACGGTGAGCTATGCTATGCTTTGCTTTGCTTTGATACACGTTCAGTTTCATTAGACGCGTTGAACAACTAGAAAGAACCTCAACTAGATATACTCTTTACGGAGTTGTTTTTTGTTGTTGTTCTCTTTCTCTTTTCATTCAATCGTCGTACACACACACACACACACACACTCAAACACAAAAAATATGATTGCATTTCCAACCATGAAGGCATTATATAAACACACAGAAAATCAAAAATTCTGTTGACTTTCTCGGGCAAATATCATATCAGTGGATGGAAAAAAGTATTTAGAGCCTACGCGACACACACAAAAAGCAATAAGAAATAAGAGTGACGAAGAAAAAACGCCAACAAAAACAACCATACACAACAAAATGCAGAATTAGTTTCGACTGAGCTCTCCCAGAGAGCCCAGAGAGAGGAAGAGAGAGAGAGAGAGAGAGAGAGAGAGAGAGAGAGAGAGAGGGATAACGGTTGAAAGAGAGAGTGAGTGGAAAGCAATGTGAGAGAATTGGGAACGAACGAAAAAAAACTTTTCCACTGTAATGATGATGTATCATATGGAGACATTCCATAGCAAACGCAAGCACATACGTTTGATATCGATTATTTTATTATCTTCGCTCTTCTTTTGTTTACCGTATGGTGTATGTGGAATCGTTACTCTCATTCACAGAGTGTGGCGACTATTTCCCTCTCTCTCTCTCTCTCCCTCTCTCTCGCTTTCTCTCTCTTGATTCTGGTTCCCAGAAAAAGAAAAAAGGCACAGAAATATTTGATTGTAATATTTTGTAATATCTAATGTCATCGATGGAATTGATCACAATGGGGTACTTAATACGAATGCGACGAAATGTGCGAGCTAGTGCGAAAATATGTCTATGATTGATGTTCACGGCTCTCTTTCTCTCCCTTCCTCATTTTGTGTTTTTTCCTTGAAATCAATCGAAAACGTCGTCGTCGTCGACGGTGTTCACAAAGTGAAAAAACGCAAAGAAACTGTACGTCAAACTGACAGACATTTCATGCACCAACCAACACATTAGTTCATTGAAACGACCGAAATATTTACTTTAATACTTTTCATGTGTCTGTGCGTTTCTGTATTTGATCGGAAATAATTTTCTGTTTCGATTCCTATTACATTGTGTGTGTGTATATATTTACTGTGCTTTATTTTGTCTCAATCAATCACTCGGCCCGACATTCAATACACGACGAACAGGCGAACAAGAAAACGACGAAAACGTGGGGATAAACGCAAAGGTATACATGAATCAGGATATTCGAAACAAAAGAACGAAACTTTTGCTCGTTTCAGCAAAACAACCAACTTCCACAGGAGAATGTGTTACAATGAAAGTAATTCATATGGCCTTTTACATACAATGTTTAATGCAAAATTGAATAATAGAATAGCATTTGGAATTTGGGGTCGCTTTTCGCCGATGTTCCATAATGCAATGAGATTATCTCTTCTAATATTTGGCAGCATGCTGAACGATTTTGAGTGAGCGATTGGGCGAGTGTATAGGGATACTGGATAATGGGGAATAATGGTTGATTTTCACATATCATTCACATGATTTCCATTGTCGCACACAATTACAAATTCAAAAAGTTGGGAATCGAACGAGTGACGTATGCATTGATTCATGTCTATGATAGAAAGGGAGCAAAAATGCAATGGTGTGTATATGTCATGATTCCATAACAACAGAAATCTACACATTGGGAACATGTCAAATATTAAGCGAGAGAACCGAGGAATACAATGGTCAATGAAAAATGCAACGCAACTGACTCTGCAAACTTATCAGCATGGATTTATGTGTGTTAACTGAGAAGACTCTTCGTTTTCATTTTTTTTTGTGTGTTTTGTTCCGTTTTTTGGATAAGTGTCTCTTGTTGGGTTGCTGGAATCGATCCAATCTTGCATGAAGTGCATTGCCATTGATTGGGTTATGAAATCGCTCCAATTCGATTGAGTATGTCTCCAGTATGTCGAATGTAAGGCGGGAGCTAGCGAGCTCGCACACGGAACATACAGTGTGAGTGTAGAAAGGAAAGGAAGCAACAAAAGTGCATATACTTACGTGATCCATGACCCAGCTATGGTTTTTTATGCTGATTTTTATATTGATGAGCGAGTAACACGTCTGCAATAACAATAGCGAATAGCAACCACACTCACACAAGAATTGAAAGAAAAAAAAAACCAAAAAAGGAAGAAAATCCAAATATACGCCAGAAACAAAACGAAGCAAGATTTCTAAGCTCTCTGCTGCTAAAGAACGAAGCTGACACCGTCAAAGAATTACTCGCATAAGTAGTTTATCGCCTGACGCTTTCCGCCAGAAATACAAAGGAAAAAAAACAAAAAAAAACTAAATAATCAAAGCAACACAAAACACGAAAGCCAATCGAAGTTTTCTTTGTTAAAATTATTGAACAAAACAACAGCGACAAAAAAAAGAATCACAATGCGTTGCGGTGGGCGAATATAAATCGGAATAGCTTGTCTTGTTTAGCGTGGCAAATTAATGGCCAATCGGCGTTACAGTTACAGTTTTGCGATATGTGAAAAATGGCTTATATTATCACATACAAACACTTACACGCGGAAACAATAAAAACGTCTTCTATACTTCGACCAGTACCGACCGAGAGTGTATGTTCAAAGTGTTTCTCCCTTTCTGTTTGTCTCTCGAGTATTGCTCTCACTGTGTCTGTCTGTCTCTTTGAATTTGGTACACAGAAAAAAAAATAACAACGATACACACACTCACAAGGCAACTGGCCAATGATTTCACACCGTATATTTCGACCAAATTCGATTATTAACACTCCGGCAGCCTCGTGGATTCATCGAACACTGACAAATGGCCTTTAAAAGCTTAAATTAACTATAGAGCTATATTGAATAGTCCTACTTTTACAATGTACTTGATATGGTGCCGAAATATGCTTTGTCCTTTTTATTTTCTTTATATTCTTCCTCTATTTTTATGTTTCGCTTGGTATCGCGCGCGCACACACACTGCTCTGACTGAGCAGTAGAGTACTTGAGAGAGTAGAAGCGAGACCTTCTTTCTTTCCACAACACGATACTCTCTCGTTCAAAATAGGCTTCAATGCGTGCATACAGTTTTCGTTTCTTTTCTTTTTTAGTTCCGTATTTGACGACTTTTAGTCAACAGTTTTTGCACAAATCAAAACTAAACACTTGTCAAGAATCTTTTTTGAATATTTTGTTGATTATGTTCAAAATGAGTTTCGATTCAATGTGTTCGCATCCAAACTGTTTCTCACTGTCGATTTTCCACAATTAAACTGTTTCAGCTTATGTGTGTCTAGTGTTGTGTGAGCTCTTTTCCACTTTCCGATCGGATCAACAACAGAACATAACTAGCATAATATCCACGAACAGAAGAAAAAAAATTAACGAGAACAAACTAACCACCACACATAGACGTCATCATCGAAGTATCACACTCGTACTGTGTTGTTGTCGTTGCGTATGCGAATATTTAACTACTATCCATTCGCGTATATAAATATACAATATACTGATGTGTGTTATATGCATATGGTATGTACACAATGTCAGTGATTTGGCAAAATCGTACCAATGTGTGGGTGCCTGTTCAACTCATTCACTCACTTCGGTGTGTTTTTCCATCTTTTTCCAACAAGGAAGCATACATTGACTCCCAACATGTGCATAAAAGAGAATGACAATAAACACAAACGGATGCGCACTGTAACATGTCCCGTTAGTCATACTACTTTCTACTACTGTTCAATATGCATGCTATATGCGGCCCCCTCATACACATATACAATGGATTCGAGTACGCTCGCGCAACACAACCATTCACATACACATAGATACGCATAGCGCTCAAAAGCATAGACGTGAATAGACACCGTACGTACGTAAATATATGGTATTAAAGATACACCATACATACGCCACGTTAAATCATGAAATTTCTGTGCATATGGTGACAATAGAACATATATTAACTCAAGAATGAGGGAACGAAAAAAATATTACCAAATTTATTCAATTAGACGTTTTCCTTATACAAATTTTTCTTCATTCCCGAAATAATCCAGAGATGGCGTTGGTCGAACGTTTCTACCCTCTACAGGGGGTTCAAATAAACCAATACTTTCCATTTAAATAGGATTTTAACAAATAAATAGACCAAAACGAATATAAAAGAATTATACGAAAATTGAGAAGGAAATGCAAAAATTCAACATATTCCCAATTGAATAAAACACAATGACTTCTTTTTTATTGAAATAAAATTTGATTTGCTTTATTCAAAATCATTTTAAATCTATTTGCTTCTTGTTCTTGCAAATATTGAATCTTTTTTTTCACTTTTCCAGCAGTTTTGCATTTAGATGTTCTATTTTTTTTCTCATTTTATTTCCACTCAACATTCAATAAATGTTTCAAATATGTTTTGACTGCCATTTTTTCTCATGATTTTTATACAAATATAGATTTTATGTGTTTTTTTAAATTATTTTATGAGTGTTCCGGTGTAGAAATATTTGCAAATGAAATTTCGTTTTAGGTTTGGTTTTTCATCATTTTCGCTTTGTTTATTGTATAAAAGAAGCAATCGTTTGCCGGTTTTGGATAGTTTGTACGCTTTGCATGTTTCAAACGTTTCATATGAAAAAAGAATTGAGGAGGATGGTGGGGAAAAATGTCTGCAAAATAAATTAATGTGATTAAGATCTGGGCAACTGAACTAAGCAAGGAAAAAAAAATATACATTTGGAAATGGCTGCTAATTTAATTGTATTTTATCGAGTTTCTGATTTTAGTGTAGCCTGGCTGGTTTTTTTTCACTTCATTTTCTCATCATTATAGCACTAGATTTATCTTTTATTTGTTTTTATTTTTGTTTTGCATATCAACAACTTATATTTCTAATGGTAAAACACTAATTTCAAATTTACAAAAGTTTTTGGATATTGTTTTATTCTCTTCTTTGTTTTTGTTTTTGTTTTTATTTTTATTTTTATTTTATACAATATACCGTGAAGATTGTTGTTTGTTTTCCAACTTTAGTTACTTTTTCTATTTCATTCTTTCTGAGTTGTATTTAAAACGTGAGATTTTGTGTGTTTCAATGTGTGTACGTGAATGTATGTCAAAGTCTCACACTAGCCATATTTAGAATTTCAAATTGAATCCAGGTCCCATTGCCACATGTCGTGCCTTTGCATCTAATGCAGCTCCTAAAATAAATCCACGATTTTCATCGACATCGGATGTGAGTTTCTTGAATTGGCCACCACCAGACGGTGGTTTTGGCGATGCTGCTAGTGCTTTTCGGGCGCCTAATTCACTCTTTGCCGGCCACGTTGGCAGCATTGCCGGATCGATCGGTAACGGTATCTCCTTGAAGTAGCTGTTACGCAATGCTTGTTCAGCGGTAAGTCGTTGTTTTGGATCATAAGTGAGTAGGCCTTGTAGCAATTGAATGCCAAGGTCACTCGTGCGTCGACCAAATTTCTCGCGTACATTTGATACGGGATATTCGGCGAATTTAATCTTCTGTACGGCAGGCAGTTGATTATAACCAGGCCACACTTTTTCATTGGGTGTGCCCAAGAACTGGAAAATGAGCGAAAGAGAGAGAAAAGAAAGCCAAAAATTAGTCATCGTGAAGAAGATAGTGAGCGAGTGATAATGTTTTAATCGTCTTACCTTAAAAATTTTATTAAGTTGGTCCGTTTCTGATTGACCCGGAAAGAGTGGAGCCATCGACAGAAATTCAGCAAATATACAACCGACCGACCACATATCAATCGGTGTTGAATATTCCTTACAGCACAGCAGCAGCTCGGGTGCCCGATACCACAGCGTCACCACAACTGGTGTGTATGGCTTCAGTGGCGATCCGTACTCACGAGCCAACCCAAAATCGCCCACTTTCAGTACGCCCTTATGCGATAGCAATAAATTCGATGTCTTTAAATCTCGATGCAGTATCCAATTGTCATGCAAATGTGCAACAGCTGCGAGTAGCTGCTGTGTTAAGCACTTCACTTCGGCCGGTAAAAAGGACTGTTTTCGATGCTGCATCGTTTCCATGAGCGTTTTAAAGTCATGCTCCACATAATCCATGACGATGAATATTTTATCCATATTGCTGCCAACCACAATTTCCCGCACCGTCACAATGTTGGGGTGCTGACCTTTTAGCAGCGTATTAATTTCACGCAACGATGTGATTGGAAATCCATCTTTTTCCTTTTCCATTTTTAAGCGTTTGAGAGCTACAATTTCAGTGGTACGTTTGTCTTGAGCACGAAATACGATGCCATACGTGCCTTCGGCGATGCGATTCAGACATTTAAACTCTTCGACTGAACGACAACCTTGTAAACCAGGATAGTAATCCGGTAACTGCTCCTCTTCCACTTTTTCAGGGGCAGTCTCTTTAGATTCGGATGGCTTTGACTCGAACGCCGCTTCAGATTTCATCTCCACGTCTTGTGATTCGGACGCATTTGAATCTCTTCGACCTCGCTTCTTTGAGTGCGGTAAATGTTTGTCATCGTCTCGATCACTGTCTTGAGAACTGTTACGCCTTCGACTGAAAGAAAACCAGAAAATATTGATTAGATTACGAAAATTCCATTTTAAAAAAATCACAAAACGAGACATTTGAAGCCAAAATCCAATCAAAATACGTCATGTTACAAACAAAGAACTATATGTTCAAAATGCTTACTCGGATCGTGAATCGTGTGAAGTTGATCGTGAATTTGAGCGCGTTGAGCGGCTTCTTGAGCGACTTCTTGATCTACTTCTCGATGGGCTATGTGAAGTAGAACGGCTTTTCGACCGACTTTTAGAATGGCTTTTCGCATGACTACGACTACGTCGCCTTCTGTGCTCCGATTTGGATAAATCACCGACCGACAGTGGACTGGTTGGCACTTCACCGTCTGACTGATCTTCGCTTCTTGAGTAATTTGATTTCGTATTAGTACCAGACTCCGACTCTGTGTCATCATCATCATCATCATCTTGTTCGGATTGCGAACTGTAAGCATGAAAATCATAAAGAATGGGTCCAGCTAACATTTTCTTAATATTATACCTTTTATCATCATCTTCACTTTCTAATACCTGAATGACCGAATGGTCATCAGGTGAACGATGTCGCCGATGTGATTTATGATGTGAGCTTCGTTTGTGTGAATGTGGTGATTCGCTAACGTTTCCCTTTTCACGGCGTAGCTCTCGTCTGGCCTCCAACTCTTCACGTGCCATCTCCTTTCGCTTGGTCATTTCACGATCGGCATCAAGGAATTTAGCTCGCCGTTTGATTGTTTCTGGATCCTCTGGCGGTGGTGGCGGTTTGTCTGACTTATGTTTAACCGATTTGTACTTTTCATTAGGGTCGAGGTCAGCGTAATCTTCTGGACTGTCAATCACTTCGATGACACTTTTTCTAGAATGGGATTTGTTTTGGTGTTGCTCATCTCTTGATCTGCTCCGTGTATTTTCTTCCTCACCACTAAACAGAGAATCATTACAAAGATTGTTATTTAGTTAAATTTTTTTTTGCAAAATGAAAGGAAAAATCGGTTTTTAGTTTTGAAAGTTGAAAAAGAGAAAAGATTCTTACTTTCGCTGGTACATTTGATGTTCCTCAATTTTGCGTTCGATATCTTGCTTACTGCGTTTGCTCAACAATCGACTCCGAAGGTCTTCCAGCTCTCGTTCGCCATCGGTTTTCTCCGGGCTATATCGCTTTCGACTGAAATTAAAAATAAACAAAAGAAAATATTGCTCATCCCATTTTTGTTTCAAACTCAACCAAAATAAAAACTAACCGCTTTTGATGCGACGAGTCCCGTGACGATAAATGATATTTATCGTACGATGAATCAAGATTGCCATGATGCCGTCCACTGGATTGATTGCTGTGGTGTTGTCTTGCATGGCGATCGGTTTGGTCACGCGCACGATCCTTATGCCGATGTTCGCCGCGTGAATGCTTTTTATCCCGTGACGATGAATCCCTAGACGAATTCTTGTGCTTATCGTATCGGCTTATCATTTGTGGCGGTTTTATTTCCAATGAATCTGTATCTTCATCGTTGCTACTTTTGTTAAAATGTAACGGAAAATGTGTATGCAAGCAACCAACATGCAAAGAAGAACAAGGAGAAAAAAAAGAGAACGGAAAAGAAAAACGTTGGTTATGGCAACGAAAGCTACAAATTTGTTTGGGTGTGTGTGTGTGGTTGATTGGCTTTTTTTGCTATATTCAGAATATATCCTAAGATGCATCTAAAATGACTATGTTGGTGCCTATGAAGGATTCGTTACACATTTATTCATTTCATTTCTCTCTCTTACGCGCTTCGACCAAATGCTAAAAAATATACACATCAATCGATTAGTGGCATTGGATTCAAAAATTTACAACAAAATTATTTAACGAATAAATTTATTTTTTTAAATATATTTTAATGAATTTGAATGGGTTTTTTTTTCTAAATATAGATATAAGTGAATAGAAAAACCTCTGTGGTTTGCGCTTCGTTGTTGTTGCATCGTTTAGCATATGCAACAAGCAAGAGTGCCCAACCAGGTTTCTCTTCTTCCAATGAATCGGTGCATTGTAGCTCGATACCGGAACGTGTGCGGCCGATGGATGATCACCGATTAGCGCGATATTTGCCTCTTCAGACTCTTTGTTTTGTTTTCAATCGCTACTCCAAATAAACTCGGTAGTTATTTTGTTTACGTCTAATATTGTTGTTTATTTTTTTAGTACACCGAATAAACTGGATTTTAATCCATAAAATGCATGCAAGCAAAACTAAAATGTGACTTGGACATCAATTTTATCTACATTCAAATTGTTCTTCAAAGTGGTCACCAATTCATGAGCGATTCGAAATGCCTTTTTGAATAATTCACGACATAATTACACAAAAATGAATGTTGATGTTGTTTTTTTTTTTTCAAACAATAAACTTTCACGAAAAAAAGCACAAACACAGCGTCCGCATGGTTGGGTATAGACGGAAATTTTGATAATAAAAAATATAGATTTTTCCGAAAACTTATTAATAATTCAACTTTCACTGTAACCCTTTCGGCTGATATACGTCCAGTCCTGCTTCGGCTGAATTTGCACTTGTTTTTATATCTATCATTCATTCGATTTAATATTGAATGCTGCACGGTTTCCACTAATTTTATTTGGATTTCGGTTATTTTTTTGGTATCTGTTTAAAATTGTTCGTTAATTATTTGTTTAATTAGTCTTTTAACGATTGAACACATGTTACAAATAATAGATTAAAATCACCATAACGCCATAATGATGAATTGAAATTTAACACGGTAAAAACATCAAGTAGCTTTGTTTTTTTTTTTTTCATTTTTATGTCATTAATTTCTTGTGTTTTATTTCCAAGAGAGAAAAAAAAGAAGTTAAATTCGCTTTTTGGCCGGGCCAGATTAATCTTACTGTTTTCATCGAGCAATCACACCTTACACGTTGACAGTGTCGCGCGCCGTTCATTTTACTTGGTTGGCATTTGGCGGAAGAGGGTAAGTGTTCCCATTGATGATTGAGTTCGTCCGTTCAATTCGAAAATCGGATGTTTCGCTCACATGCATGCTGCTATTCCAGATTGGCCGATCGACGATCACGACGACGATGGGACGTTTTCGATTAAAATGCAATTTTTGGTTTTGTCGTTGCATTTTCATTGCGTTCGTTTTGTTCACGGTCTTTGTTTTGGTCTGAATATTATTTGGTTTGATTGTTTTTTTATATTTTGTGTTTTTTTAACATATTTTTATAGCATTGGTTTGCATTTGACAGATTTTGAGTTAGAGCGTGTAATCCTTTGGGTTAACAAGACCCAACATTGAGTGATGTTTCATGTGAGTTCATATGCAATCAGTATTGCCTATGCAATCATATCAAAAAATGAAAATGAATAAATTTGTTCGACAAAAAGATCTTAGAAGGTAAAGAAATTCGATTGTTTTTTTTCGGGATATTTTTTTTCTTTTTTTTTTCTCATATACGAAAAAAAATCTTTAGAATATAGCAAAAAAAGGAGATAAAAATGAGGATTCAATTTAGCGAAAAAAAAAAAACTGAAGACAAGGCTTACTGAAGTATTCGTTTTGATTGTAAAATGTCAAAAAAAGAAATCATTCGTTTCAGTTGTTTGTTCAATTGGTGATAAGAGCGGATTTGTTTGTTCGACATTCTACAATAAAATCAAACCGATTATTTCAGTTGCACTGATGATGTCTTCACGATTTCGAAATGAGACACAAACTTTCCATAAATTGAGTATTTGTATTTTTGTTTCTTGATTGTAATAGGCTTTTTTTCTTGCGTTTTATTAGGCAAGCTCTGCCTTAATGGACTGTTGCTGATGTAAATAGCAACGCGCAAATTTGAACAAAAATTCCGGAATTTTACTTAACATTGAAATGCACTAAAAAAATTGAACCTACCTATCATATGCGGCCATGGCTGAATTTGCCATCGGGGTGATTAAGATGTGTTAATTCGCGCTAGCAGCTCCCCCAGTGTTTTTATTGACCATCAATTCTTGGTTGCGCGGAAGCCAGGTGATTTTATGATCTTTCTCTGTGTCTCAGTGTTTCGATGGAATGAATGTTTATTGTTGAGCCGAGCAATTTTTGTACATTTGCTGTTGCTGTTGCAGTTGTTGTTGTCGTCGTCGTTTGATTGAATCAAAAATCGATCAAACTTTGTGATGCGAATGAGTGGCGCGTATAATTTTCCCTTCTACTTTAAACGTTTACCAAACGTAACAACAAATGCATTTATTTTTTGTTCGTATTTCAATCAAATTAAATGTTGGAATTAACACCAGCGACGACGAAAAAAAAATACCCGGAAAGAAATCAAACTTCTGATTTAGAGTTGAAGTTCAGCGTAAAAAATGGAGAAAAAAACTAGTAAACGGAATTAAAGACACAGAATTGTAGAAAAAAAATCACGCGAAACACTTAAACGAATGATGATTTTTTTAAATCAATGACAAGAAGGGAAAAACGTCGATTTGTTTGCATGAGTGCGTTGTGTTGTATGTGTGTGCGATGGTGTGAGTGACTCACAGCACCGTTCTAATATCGAAATTTATTGATTCTTATTGATTTGGCGTATATTTTATATAACCACAAAAGAAGAAATTATAAACTGTGTCTCTTCCTTTGCTGTTTTGTGTGTGTATGTTTGGATTGGTTCAGCGTTCACTACGGCTTTATGCTATGTGTATCGTACAAATTGCGCTCAATTAGTTTTCCATGCGAATTCCTCTTTCTCTCTCGCTCTCGGTCTTCAGAGATTTTGAATTAATATTTGTGATGCTTCCACGGACTTTAGAACGAAAGACAACGAAGCGTGTATTTTGCAATGAAAAAAAATGTATACGCGACCACCAAATAAAACACACTCTTGATATTTTTGTGTCACATAAACGCCATATGAACCAGCAAAATAGTGACAGCAACACCAAATCACACAGCCAAAAGTGATGAAAGTTTTCTTTCAATTTCACGTTTGCTATTTCATGGAAAAAGGAACGCACACCAACAACCGAAATCGAGAGAAGAACGAAAAAAAACAATGAAATATGCACACGAAGCAGCTGAAGCGAGAACGATATACAGCACATTGACTGTTGATCGAAAACGTTTAACGAATACATATACGGCGACGATGTGTGTGTGTAAGTTGTACCAACAGCGTTTCATTTGTCTAAGGCCAACGTCGCTTGCCTTAAAATTGGCGGCAGGGGGCGCCATCCCAAAATGCAGTGTAAAAAACCAATTTTTCATTCGTTTTAACTCGAACACATTGAATATTCCAGAATAAAATTCCATTTACTTGGTTACTTCGATTTTGGTTTCAATTAATAAACGTTTAGTAGCGATTGATTTTGTACAATAATAATGAATATGATTTAATTCAAAAGCTTAACTGAAACTTCCGAAACGTTAATTCATTACGTCATTATTAGGTGCTGCCTTCATACAGCAAAAATAACCAACTTCATATTGATTTGTCGTATAAATATATACAATATAAGAACATACGACGCCAATAATTTCACAGCTATATAAAACACCGTACCGAGTGGTTGTTAATTCATTTCGCTGCAATCGAAGTTATTTGCTTTTGTTTTTTTACGTATAAATATAAAAATAATGAATCGTCCACACCGCAATCGTATTATTAATGGTCGTGTGATCCGGCTAACGCGAACAATGCGAGCCAATAATTTGGCCAATCAAATTATATACGATTTGGCACATAATCAAGTGCAAATTCAAGGAGGTGTCAATCAAAATCAAATGAGAATTCGTGCATTATAAATTCAAAACGCTGATTTTCGGCGGACAAACCAACAACAAACAGCCCAAATAGGAGATCTGCAGAGAGATAATCGTGCAGCTATTCGCTCAATTGCCAATCAAGGCACTCGAATTACTGACCTGGAGCGTGAAAATGGTGTACAAGCCACTC